AAAAAAAAATAAAGTGAATAAATAAAGTTAAATAAAAATAATTCTTTAAAAAAAGAAGAAAAAGAAAGAAAAAGAAAATGTCTCTGCAGGGACCAGCAGGTGGTGTGGTGGTTGAGGTGTTAGACTCCCACAAGGCTCACTGCAGTTCAAATCTCGACCTGACAACTTGCTTTTTCACTTTCTCTGTCTCTCTGGTAAGAGTGTGTGTCCTACAGCAAATTAATTAACAATAATAATAATAAATAAAATCAAATAAATCTTAAAAATAGATAATATCTCTGAAATATGGAGAATGAAAAATGAAAATTTAAGGATGGAATGTGGTAAAGAAAAAATTAACATCATTCTGTTAGTCTAAGTTATCGCTTTGTCTTTGAAAAAATAATAAAAGCTTATTTCCTTTATAACTTAAAAAAAAAGTAGTTGGAACAAACCAGCTAAACCAAAGTTGACAAGTGACTTTTATGAAGGGCTTCAGCCCCTTGCCTAAGGGTAACATCCTGTAAACGCTATAGATTGGTCAGATCTATTTGAAACAACTGCTTACAAAACAATGTATGATTTTACATCTTAAAAATTCCTCAAGTGGGACCAACAAGTGGTGTGATGATGAAGGTGCTGGACTCCCACATGGTCAACCGTGGTTCAAGTCCCAGACCTGGCAGCTTGAAACTCATATTGGGTGCATGTGCGTGTGCCCAAAATTCCAGGAGAACAGAGAAGGGACTGTGGCACAGCCATCCCCCCCAGGGGTTGATTTATCACTTTCTCTCTTTCTCTCTCTCTCTCTTTCTCTCTCTCTCTCCTCTCACACATCCTATGGCAAAAACCTTACCCCCCCCCAAAAAAAGTACTAAAAACAAAAAAAAAACCCCAGAAAACATAAAATTAGTGTCCCACATGACATGTGAGCTAAAACATACCCAAATATTGCCTCTGTAAAATACTGGTTACCTTTGTGAAACTGTAGGATAGCTTTCATCTCCTGATTCTTTAATGTTATTTTTATATTTTCATGTGTACTTTCTCAGCTGGCAACTATATATTTTTTAAAGAATTATTTTATTTAACTTTATTTATTTATTTATTTGAATTTGGCCAGAGAGGGACGTAACGAGAGAGAGGGAAAGTGAGAAAACAAGCCGCCAGGTCTGAGACTTGAACCATGGTCGGCCATGTAGGAGTCCAGCACCCTTAACCACCCGCCACCTGCCAGCCCCTGGTAACTATATTTTTATTAAGAGGGCAGGGTCTCCTGAGCTGTGTATACCGTAAATATACGGACATTTAACCATCATATTCAGCTAGTGAGTTTTGCCTCAGGAACATTTTGCCTTTGTCCTCATTTTCTAACCAAAATTGCATTTTTTCTCCCAACCACTTTCTAATATAACCAATGGGCAATACAGATTTGGGGGCAGCTAAAACTTTCACACTTGCCTGAAGTAAAAGTGGTCCTAAGGAGTCTTTGTCGATCACTCCCTGCCCTGTGGAAGACACGTCAGCTTTCTGAACATCATCATCATTGGAAATAGCTTTTCCTGAAAAGACAGAAGGCAAGACTAGCAGGAGCACGTTACCAGTTACCGAAGAAACCGCCTTGAGACCCTGCGAACAGACACCAACAGACACTGGCACTCGCGCACTCGCCCTCCCAAGCACACGCATGGACATACAGAACAATTCCTGGGAAGAGCCTGATACTTCGATCTTAAAAAATGAAAGCCACACTCCACAGTTCCCCGGGGAGGCAGGAGACACCCTGCCTTTCCTCACTTTTACATGTCACTACCCCACAGCTTCCCGAAAGAGGACTAACGTGGCGGGGGAGCCACAGCGGCCTTCTCCAGATCCTCTGACGACCGTTTCCTAAAGCGCAAACCTGTCCACTCCCAAGCTGTCTAGCCTCCGTCGGCTGCCAGGACAGGGCAGCGAAAAGCAAATGCAAACACAGTTAACAATTCCTTCTAAAAGTGCTTTCCTTACTTCGCATTACCTTGTTCTTTTATTTGACGTATCTGTCTTACTGTTTCCTTCAAAATCGCACACTTATCCGGTTTGACGTTGAAATTGTCAATATCACTAAGATTAGCAGATATGAGTTCAGCCAGTTCTTCGATGTATTTACTCTCCTGCTCCCGTCTCCACTTTTCACCACTGCAGCTGAGACTGGGAAGAGAAGGGAACAAAACGCTATGACAGACCTCTAGCAAAAGAAGGGAGAAGGGCCAGCCCCAAAACCATTAGCATCAGAGTAAACAAACGGATCCCAGCCAACAGAAGTGAGCAAAACACCAACTGAGAGAAGCACAAGGTAGGAGAACCGCCAGCGGATTTAAATTCAATTCCACCTTTTGTTAGCCATGCCACCTTGGGCAGTTAGTTCAGTTCCTACATCTGGAAAATCGGGATAACATAATTACCTCAAAGAGATACTAAAACAACTAACAAATAAGAAAAATAGTTCATACTAATTATGAGGTTTTATTAAGAGTGTGTGTGTGTGTGTGTGTGTGTGTGCGCGTATTTTGGCAACAGGGCACATGCGGGAAGGGGGGGATCTCCAATGAAGGATAGTGATGCAACAATCTCTTCTCAATTTCTCCCTCTTTTGGGGATTTTGGGCACATACCTGCACCCAGAGTGTTCTTCAAGCCACACTCAAAGCACACACTAGGCCATGTGAAATCTAGCCATGATTGGCTGTATGGGAGTGTTAAGCACCTTAACCACAATGCCATGGGTTGACTCATTTAATTTTTTTATTTTTTTAAGAGGGATTTTGCTAGTGCATGTGCCCTCATCAGAGAGACAAAGAGAGACAGAGATAAAAAAGAAGCGAGAAATCACTCCCTAGGGGGGATAGCCACATTGCAGTCCCTTCTTCTCTAGTCACCTCTTGGGATTTTGGGCATTTGTGGCACGCACACACACACGCCTGGCATGAGTTTTAAACCACTGAGTCCAGGACTTGAATTACAGTGATGTAACCATTATGCCATCAGCTGGTCTCCATTTTTTAAATTTTCAACTACAGTACTAAAATCCAAATGAGGGACCAGCAGTTAGCATAATGGCTATGTCACTGAACTCTCATGTAGCTGACCGCAGTTCGAGTCCCTGACCCATTGGCTTAAACTCACGCTGGGCGTGTGTGCGTGAGGGCCCAAGATCCTAAAGGAGAATAGAAAATAAGGGATTGTGGCATCACCATCCCTCGTGGGGGGTGATTTCTCGCTTTCTCTCTGTCTCTCTCTGTCTTTCTGGCGAGCACAGACGCCCTATAGCAAAAACCTCTCAAAACAAAAAAAAATGACATTGGGGATCAGCAGGTAGCATGGTGGTTAAGGTACTTAACACTCCCATACAGCCAATCATGGTTCGAGTCCCAAACCCAGTGGCTTGCTTCCTCACGTTCCTTTTCACCCTCTCTCTCTCTCACTCTGTGTGTGTGTGTGTCTGGTCAAATTAAAATAAAATGAATGAACAAATAAAATTAAAATAGATAATAATTTAAAAATGGAAACGACATTGGGACCAGCAGTTAGCGTAATGGCTATGTCGCTGGACTCCCACGTAGTCGACCGCGGTTCGCGTCCGGGACCCAGTGGCTTAAAACTCATGCCAGGCGCGTGTGCGTGTGTGCCCAAGATCCCGAGAGGAGAACGGAGAAGGGATTGCAGTGTGGTCATCCCCCCTGGGGGGTGATTTCTCTGTCTTTCTCTGTCTGTCTGGTGAGCACACACGCCCTATCGCAAAAACCTCTCCCCCCCCCCAAAAAAAGGGAAATGACATTGACCTTGGCAAATACCTTAAAGCTACAGAACAGCTCTGCACAGATTATGGTACTTAGTTTCTAGGGGGGTTTTTGTTTTTTTTGTCTTTGGTTTTGGTTGTTTTTTTTTTTGTTTTTGTTTTTTTTTTGCTATAGGGCGCGTGTGCTCACCAGGAAGACAGAGAGAGGGAGACAGAAAGCGAGAAATCACACCCCTGGGGGGATGGCCACGCTGCAATCCCTTCTCCTCCACTCTCCTCTTGGGATCTTGGGCATGCACACACATACGCCCAGCGTGAGTTTAAGCCACTAGCTCCGGGACTTGAACCACGGTCGACTACATGGGAATCCAGCGACATAGCCTTTACACTAACTGCTGGTCCCTTATTTCTAATTTTTAAACTTCTAATTTCATTCAGGAAAAGTGTGATGAAAACGCATAAATGCCAAAATATATATTCTCAAAGGTCATAAAATATTCTTATTTGTAATATTCATCTACTCTGACTCCTACCCTGACATTCAGAAATTCTTATAGCACCACAGACTGGTAATCTATTCCACCTTCTATCTCGGTCAGCGATAAACAGCTTTTATAACATCATGAGGACCGTGTGGCATCCGTAACACTCTACATGCTGCAAAGGAAACTCACATTATTTAAGGAAAACTAACCACAGAATGTGAGTAACAGGTAACTAATAGGAAGTTGAAACATTATCCTTAAAACAAAGGGGGTCAGGGGCTGGGGTAAGCTTCTGGAAATAAGTTACCTACCCTTGACCTGGAGTGTCACACGGCAATTTACGTTTTCGGGAGTCAGTGGCCAGGGGATCCAAGGAGTTTTCTCCTAACCCACTCATCGTGACTACACATCAGCAACTAAGGAAGAAGCAAAAGAAATCCGGTAAGTACGTTCTAGAAGAGCCTGGACTCTAGCAAGGTGCAGTGTTTATCCTTACGAATCACTTTCTCTAAACGGATGATTCCCCATAGTCTTTATCGTAAGTGAGGACACTGAGAACACTCTTCGAGATCATATCCAGTATGAACAGGCACAAGGGCCAACCTCCAGACAGAAATGTTTCTCGAATCCTACTACAATGTACGTACTGAGTACCTCACCAAGATCTTTCATGTTTAATAAAAAGGGAGTGCGGCCCAGCCCCAGTAGCACAGGCTAGGCGCTGCTGCCTGGCAAGCTGAGGCCACAGGGAGGCCACAGGGGAGTCGAGATCAGTTCCTGAACTACCCAACAAGGCTGGCTGCAGGTGGTACACACGCACACCTGCTGTCCCAGCTACCTGGGAGGCCGAGGCAGGAAAATCGCAACAAAGCAAGGCCCTGCCTAAAAACAAGTCACCACAGAAAAAAGAAAAACAGGAAAGAAAAAGAGAATGGCAATTCTCAACTATTGACAAAACATTTGATTTTATTTACACCCATGTAAACGCAAAATTGACCTTTTAATTTGGTAAGAAGGTCTCAAATGATAAAAGTCTAAGTTATTCCTTCTGTTTTAAAGACACCACTTTTCCTCCTTTGTACTATGTTATTAATATTTCACTCACATGTTTCCCCTCTGCTGTTTCAAAATAAATCTGGGGTCAGTCTCGGAGGCTAGTGGTGAAGGAAGCAGGATCCCAGATGGCTAACCGTGGTTTGAATCTTGGCCTCAGCAGCTTGAAAGACATGCCGGGCCGAGTGTATGCAAGCCCCAAAGCCTGACAAGATGGAGACACGAAGGAGACTGTAACGTGACCACACTCCATATGGGGGCTTTCTCTCTCTCCCTTCCTTCTCGGGCAAGCACAATGCGGCCTATGGCAATAAGAAAAATAAAATAATAAAGTGAACCTGGATTGTATAAACGACATTGTAAAACTCTACTACATTCTAACTAGAAAGTAGACGTAAAACAGTAAGATCTCTGGGTAGGAGAGGGGGACATTTTTACACTGATCCACACAGCAACAATTATTTTAAAGTCTACTGATGGAAAACTGGTATGTTTCAGTTAAAAGTTTCATTGATGAAGAAGAGAATAAATGTAGGGTATTTCTTGTTGAGAAAGAGCAGGTTTTACTACTCTGCAGCTCATAATTTAAGTCAACCAAGTCTTCATTTACTAAGAATTTCATCTGTACGTGGGACCAGCAGTTAGCGTAATGGCTATGTCACTGGACTCCCACGTAGTCGACCACGGTTCGCATCCCGGACCCGGTGGCTTAAAACTCACGCCAGGCGCGTGTGCGTGCGTGCCCAAGATCCCGAGAGGAGAATGGAGGAGAAGGGACTGCGGCATGGCCATCCCCCCCGGGGGGTGATTTCTCACTTTCTGTCTCTCTGTCTGTCTGGTGAGCGTAAGCGCCCTATAGTGAAAACCTCGCCAAAAAACAAACAAAAAAAAAAGAATTTCATCTGTACCAGACTCTTGTTTAGGACAAGACAAACATTATTCTAAAGAATTCCATGTAAATGATGAAGCTGAAATATTCTCAGTTATTTTTCAAACATGTTAAAAATGCATCTTCGGGGACCAGCAGTTAGCATAATGGCTACGTCGCTGGACTCCCATGTAGTCGACCAGGGTTCGTGTCCCGGACCTGGTGGCTTAAAACTCACACCGGGCACGTGTGCGTGCATGCCCAAGATCCTGAGAGAAGAATGGAGGAGAAGGGATTGCGGCGTGGCCATCCCCCATGGGGGTTGATTTCTCACTTTCTGTCTCTCTGCCTGTCTGGCGAGCGCACGCGCACTATCACAAAAACCTCTCAAAAAAATTTTAAAAAGCCTCTTCCATTACAGCTAGATGAGACAGAAACTGAAGGATGTAAATCTCCACTAGGTGGCACACTACGACCAGGAAGGAGAAGACAAACTAATAAAAAGGAGAAAATTCATGCGATACTATTGAACAAACTTTTAAAAAGTTAAAAAACAAAAATTTTTTTTCAAAGGCCCAGATGGTGGTACAATGGTAATGCAAGGCTCTGCAATGCTGAACGCACATGGGAAGGTCTTGAGTTCGTGTCCCAGGGACGTTGTGCATGCATGCCTATGACCCAAGCTGGGCTAGGCTGCGAGTAGGAGGGTGGCAAAAAGATCTCACTGCAGGGCGCCTGTGTCTCTGGCTCTCTTTTCATGGGAGAAATCATTTTTTAAAAATAAAAATCCACTAATCAAGAATTCTAGATTATAACACTGCCTTTACAGATGTGCTAGGTATGAATTAAATACCAACGAAGTTCGCTGTATAATTTTGGCAGTAAAATACAAAGGATGAAAAACTAAGATGTTCTTAAAATTTGCTGTATTTATTCCTCCATGATATAAGATTAAATGAGAGAGTAGAGAACTTAAAATAACCTTGATTAGCAGTAAATGACTAAATACTGATTATAAAGTATACTCTCATCACACAATCTTGAGGAGTACTTACATGGGAATGTCAAAAAGTTCATAGAAAAATGGAATTAAAGTATGAATTTATTTTGGTGCCAAAAACATTTCAAATTCATGCATAGTTTTTCCATAATATGTATTTTCCATATGAACTTTTCGAAGGCCCACTCATGTTTTCAAAAATGTCTATGTCTTGGGAACCAGCGGTTAGCGTAATGGCTATGTCGCTGGACTCCCATGTGGTCGACCGCGGTTCACGTCCCGGACCCAGTGGCTTAAAACTCACGCCGGGCGCGTGTGCGTGTGTGCCCAAGATCCCGATATATATAAAATTATTAAATATATATACATAAACACACACACACACATTTCGGACTAAGGGACTGTTGTTTTAATGTACGTGGCCCTTAGGTGGAGGAGAAATGTGTGTATATTACAAGTAAGCCAGAGAACAGGGCAGAAGAGAACATGAGAAAGGGGCTAGGGCAAAATATTGATCCTACATGAATCTTGGTTGGAGAAAAACTTAAAAATTCTCTGTTGTATTCTTTTTTCAACTTTAAAATGATTTTCAAACATAATGGTTTGAAAGGATGTTTTAGTTTTGATTTTCCAATGTTCACATCTAAAAGAAAGAATGATAATTCCTTAAGCATAAAGTAAAATAATTCTAGCTACATAATTGGTTTTTATCATCTGTTTCATTTCAAGGTTATTTTTAAATGGAGTGGCAAACTGCTCACTACATAATACCACTTATTTTAAAGACATTATTTATTCTATATTCTGAATAGTATTTTTCTACTTTGGTGTTAAACGTAAGCTAAGTCCCCAAAACTGAGTAGAAAAACGATTCAGTGACTATCACTTCTTTCATTGGCAAGACATAACTTAGTCTATGTTCAGGGTTGGTGCCTTACATGCTGTTAATATAAGTTGAATCCTCAGTGCAGAATAAGGTGTCTAGCCACATAAAAGGTGGTCAACAAATGCCTTGAGAAAATACTGAATAAGTAAATAAAAGAAGCATCCTACCTATTAAGTCTTATTTTACAATTCCCTTTATTCTAATCTATATTATCAATTCTATTACTTTACACTTTTAAAATGCTAATGTCTGCGTCTCACTGGGAGGATACACTGGTCTAGTAGAGTACTTTTCACAGTATAAAAAGTAAATGGCTAGCATTCACACGCTAAATCTAGACCATTTCAGTCACTAGTCAAGAATGAGGATGAGGACCAGCCCTGCAGCGCCCCAGTAAGTGCCATGCGGAGAAAGCCACAGCGCGCTTTTGAGTCCTGGTCAGGGTCGCTTGCAAGCTGCTGGGCAGGTGCAGGTGTGCCCCGAATCCTGCTGGGACGGAAAATGGAGGAAAAAGCGTGTGTGGCATGACCACATCCTCACTGGGGCATGTTCTTACATACAAATGCACATGGCTTCTGGGGAGAAAAAAAGAGAGAGAGAGAATGAGGTGTCTTCCACGAGTCTAGAAGTCATACAGCTGAGCTCGGGTTCGGATCCCCAGGACAGCTTGAAAGCAGACTGGGCACATGGCACCTAGGATCCTGCAAAGGGGGAAGGCTAGGGACGTGGTGTGACGAGACTCTGTTAAGGTGCCTCTGCCCCTCCCTCTCATGTGCACCTGCTTTCCACAGAGGAGGGAGCAAGGAAGGGAGGAAGGAAACTTTAAAAAAGAAGAAGAAAGAAAATGAAACACACATGAGTAACAGCATAGCTTCCATTTCCACATCTTCAATTATACCTCATCGTTCAGAGGATATAAGAACTTGGTAAAAATCCATCTTCGAGGAGAAAATACAGTACGAAGTCTCCACAGTAGGTTTGATTATAAAAACGACATTAAGGGCTGGCCCCAATGGTCTAATGGTTACAGGAGCAGGATCCCATATGGCTGACCATGCAGTTTGAATTCCAACCCCAGTGGCCTTAAAAAAAAAAAAAAAAAAAACAGGTGTGTGTGTGCATGTGTCCAAAATCTCAGGAGGACGGTGAAACACAAAGGGACTGCAGTGTGATCACGTCCCATTGCGGGGTGCTCTCTCACTCCCTCTCCAAGCACGCAGGCCCTCTGGCAAAGATTTTTTTTTTCTTTTTTCAATTTGCCAGAGGGTATGTGCACTGGAAAAGTGAGCACCTCCCAAAGGGCTTGGTCCCGTCACAATCCCTTCCCCATTTTCCCTCCTTTTCTGGATTTCGAGCACACAAACACAACGTGTTATTCAAGACACTGGTTCTGGGATTCAAACCACACTGCCAGGCACGTGGAAGGCAGCTGCTTTACCCACCAGGCCACAGTCTGGTCCCCTCTCACAAATTCAAAACACAAAAAAAGGAACAAAAAGAACAGTATTGGGCTAGCAGGTGACACAGAGGTTAAAGCAGCTGGATCCCACATGGTTGACGGCATGGTTCAAGTCCCAGAACCAGCAGCTCGAAAATCATCCATGACTGAGTGTCCCCAAAATCCTGACAGGAGAATGGAGAGGGACTGCAGCATGGCCATGCCCCAAGGGAGCAACTTCTCACTTTCCCTGTCTCTCTCTCTCTCTCCCTCTCTCGTGAACACATGCACTTTATAGCAAAATAAATAAAACAGAGCTTGTTCTAAATTCTGATTCCCTACAATAAAGACGATCACCCACACAGCTGAACAGAAAATAAATAGGACCACAATATATACTGGCCCCCCAAGTAATGTGATCTTAAAATCACGTCATAAATCCAATAGTAAGATGTGCAGATACTATTTTGACGTTTGTAATGAAGAGATGTCTCCAATGTATTGTTGTAACTGGACATGCACCTCTACTGCACCTCCAGGCAGTGTCCAATCACAGAAGCCCTGAAAAGATTAGAGTGAGGAATTTTTCACTGAGTCAGAATTCGAAAGCCCAAAATGAATTCAATCTATCAACCCCTCAATCCTTGAGTTATTTTTATAATTATCTTCCTTATCTGAAATGTTTTTCTGAAAAAAAAGTTCTATTACTAATACTACTTAAATATATTAATATGAAAATGAACATTTTCAGCTAAGATTACATTTAAGCAAGATATTCTAAGTAATTACTTCAAATATGAAATAGGAACAATGTAGAATATCTTTCAATGATATCAAAATCTAATGCTATCCACTTCTATATTATTCAGAAAAAATGGAACCAGCAGATGACGTAATGGTTACGTCGCTGGACTCCTACGTAATAGACTGTGGTTCAAGTCCCAGATCTGGTGACTTCAAACTCATGCTGGGCGTGTGTGCCCAGAATTCCAAGAGGAAAATGGAGGAGAAGGGACTGTGGCGTGGCCATCCCCCAGGAGGTGACTTGCTGTTTTCTATCTCTCTGTCTCTGTCTCCCCAGCAAGCACACGCACCCTATAGCAAAAAACT